AAATTAAATATATATAAATTAAATATATATAAATTAAATATATATAAATTAACACTTCATTTGATCTTGATTCTATACCTCTGTTGATGCAGCCTAGAACTGTGTTGGCTTTTTTGGCAGCTGTTGCACACAGCTGGCTCCTATTTAAATGGTTGTCCACTAGGACTCCCAAGATCTTTCTTGTTGATGATTGTTTGATGGCTTGAAAAATATACTCAAAATGGAGTTTGTCAATGATTCCTCACCAAACCTGAGTAAATGATCATTTTGAGTGATTTCGACAGGAAGATGTGAAGAATTCTTAGCAAATGTGCAGAATCCCTCTGTATTAAATGAGCCAGGTCAAAAAGATACTAGCAGACTTCTAATTGATTTTGCCACATGAAACAAGGTGGGTTGAAATTAAAAGAAAGCATTCAAAGCGGGACCTTTTTCATTTAAGAAACAGAAATCAAATGCAGAGTTGCAGAAGGGCAGATCGTCAGTCTAGTAATAATACGTATAACGAGGGGTTTGGGAAACGAGTTAGCAGCCTGGCGTGGCTCCCAACATTTAAATTGCATCCACTGAATATCATCTTCAGATCAATAGAAGTAGTAATTCCTTTATTGATCCGATCTTACGTCACGTCTTTGTCCTGTTCTGGCCAAAATACTTCAAGAATTCAATCTAAACAAGGGAAAGATGAGAGGAATCACACGGGACACAAATGCTATACACTCTCCAGTTACTTTTGTGGCCCACTCCTCTTTATTCCCTATGGGAGGGGCTATTCACCATACACCTGTGGCCTTACTCCCGACTCGGCCCTTGTTCCTTAGATGTTCCCTTCGTCTGGCAGCTCTGTGCATGCGCAATTCCTGGTCCCAACAAAAACCTCTTTCATTAATTTACTGTGAATTCTGCTCATTCACATCCAGCAAAGTCTTTCAAGGGAGGATTTACAGTCACCGACCTTATCCGGCTTGGAGAGCTGCCAGGCCGATCTCTGCAAAACTTGGCAAGGTGTCTCGGAGAGCCATGAACCAATTAAGTGAACTAAATGTCTCCTGGGAGGGGCCATTCATCGTCCACCTGTGGCCTTACTCCCAAGTCGACCCTTGTTCCCTTCTCCTAGCAGATCTGCTCATGCACACATCGGAAACAGGCTCCAACTGTTCGTTTGCCTCACTGATGTCTGACTCCGAAGGCAGCTGATAACTGGCATACAAC